ATGTTGGCAAGCCGGTTAGCGGAGCTGCAAGGTTACTCATCAAATCATGTTAGGCTGTCTGTCTGTGTTTTTATGTGCACCGGAGAGAGGAGCCATAACTCTGCTGGACGGTCGTGATCTTTTGCCCCCAATGTGCACACCAACAGAGGGAAACCAGTCTATTATGAGGTCACGTGTTACTGAAGTGGCTAGAATTTAGGCTAAGACTAAATTAAACAAGAAGCAATGGTTTAGAAAGGGTAAGAGCATTTATTTAGGTTTACGCCTCACATACAATGGAGCTTTTCTCTATCAGATTAGAGTTAAAAAATAATGTCCACACGGCTCTTTTTCCTAAAGAAATCCACAGAGAAATGCAAAATACAACAAAAACCTCAGTGAAAGTCAAATCTCTGCAAAGTACAGCAGGCATATAGGCACCTTATGGTTTTTATAAAGCACCTAATGGACATTATTTAAATGCAGTGATAATTCCTGATAAACACAACAATTGGACTGGAATGTATATACATCTAATTTGAGAAAATAACATGTTAGCCCAGGTTTTGTGTTGCTATCAGTGCTAAGAGCCCATAAGTGCCACTAAAGTCTGATTTACCAGCATGTTAGAGTGTTTTATGACCTGTGTAGAGCCTGAAAGGTGATGAGGAAGATCAGGGATTAGATTCTTTCTCTCCCATTAAAAGTTCAGACGAATCAACTGTTCAAGGAAAACAGAAAAAAAACAGAAATCCTGTAGCAGTTTTTGACCCTGACAGCAGTTTCCTTTGGTTTTAACCAGCTTCTCTGCAGGTTTTAAATCTGCAAAAATCATAAAATTGAAGAAAATCAGATCCAGCCGGCCCGTGGAAACAACCCGGCCGTTCCACCAAGACGACAGGAAACACACTATCTTCAAAAAACACACACTTCCTGCTAAGTTTCCCGCTTCCTGTGCGGTAGGGAAAGGGAGGGGTGGCCGCTGATGTCATGGGGAGGCTCCCTCCATGGGAGCTGCCTGCTGGTAACTAGCTAGTCGCTCAAATTCTGCCAAAGTTTTACGAGAAGGGCACCAACCATCCAGTGGGAAAAAAGCAAAAAAAAGATAATTACAATGTTTTTTTGTGGTGAAACATTTTGCTTTAGCCAAAAGGGGCATTTTAAATACACAGGAAGCCTCTATGACTTCCAATAAAGGGCTTCATCATCTAACATCCTAATGTTTTGTGTTTCCCTTAAAAGGAGAAAAAGCAACAATGAGTTTCTGCTGCTTGTTACCGTTTGGGAGGAAGTTTCCTCTGCTGTTACAGTCAGAGTTTATTAGTCTTTTCAGCTTAGTGAGCAACAATGAGCACACGGGCTTCTGTTCTTCGATGAAAAGGGAATTTTTAATCGTGTCGCTTTCCAATCGGAGCTGCATTCCTGCTTTTTTTCCCGTGCATTTCACCTCCTGTTGATGGAATTGCTCGACCTTTTCTAACGGTTGCTGTTATCCAGTGTCAATTAAAGTCGTGTGCAATAAAACTAAAGAATATAGCTCCAAAATGACAGCCGGAACACGAACATCAATTCAGCAAAAAGACAAAAACAATTAAAAAAATACATTCAAAAGCAGCATTTAATCTACACGCAACAGAATATGAAGGAAAAAAGGAAAACCTCTAAGGTTAATCTGAGCATTTTCCTGTATTTTAAAGCTCCTAGAGGATCCTGAGAGCAAAGCTATCCAAAAACGCTGGTGATTCAGGGAGAAGTGGGGACTATATTCCTTCAAATCAGCACTGGGGACCAACAGAGCAGCTTTAAGACGGTCCTACCTCCACCTCTCGCACACAAACACACACACAGCTGTGTCTCAACAACAAACAGTTCCTGACACAACCTGATTTACATGAATTAACACCCATGAGGAAGACGGCACTCGTACTGGATGTTACCTCAACACTAAACAGTTTCAAACTGTTTGACTGAGGCTGATATTTGCATATGAAACATCTGATGCACCTCGCTGACACTATAATGAATAATTACACATTTAAAGAGCGCTACCTGTTACTAAAAATGGCTGTCACGTCCATGCAACCAACCGTTTGTTGGCTACGTGTAAAAGGCCAGAGAACCCCGTTAAAAAACAAAAATCCTGTGTAAATGTGCATAATCTGCCTTTCTTATGTCTTGCTCCAAACTCAATGAGAGCTCCTCCTTTATAATCTTCCGTTGTCGTTTTAAAAATTGGCCTGTAACAGCGTTTTTTCCAGCTTTGGGACATGTGGCTGACAGGGAAAGCAGACCTGATCGTACTGAAATTGGAACCATTTGCGATGATTTTAAAACTTGTGTTTCAGTCCCACCCTTCGGTTTGTGAAACATCACTCCGTGTTTGCTGGGCGTGATTCTGTCGTATTATCTTGTCAACAATGTTTTCCTTCTGTGCAGCTTTCAGTGCACGTCAGCTCCCGGGCATCAGCATCCAGACTCCAGCTACTCAGTCTGATTCAGTCACATTTAAATACACTATGGGATACACAGCTGAGCCAAAAGAATGCCAAGCTGGTGCTTCTATCCATCCATCTATCCGACATTTAACAGTCTGAAGAAAACGCTGACTGTCATATTTCCTAAACCTAAAAAGGATCTAAAAACCTGCACAATATGTCTGATGAAGAGCCCCCCAGTTCTAATCCATCAACTCTTAATCATGGATACTTCTTAGAATATATCCCGATAAAAAAAAAATCATTATTTTATGTGGGTTTTTTTTAAACAAAACTCATTTTGTTTGTTCCAAATATTGGACGTTTTGCAATCATTACATTCCTATAGTTCTGATAGAAAGAAAAACTCACTACAGTCAAAAGATATACTTTAGATATGACTATCACACCATTTTAGCTCAATAACGAACAAAAAGAAAACATCCAGTCAACTATCATAATCAGTAGCAACACATTACAGATATTATTATTCATTAAAAGCCCAAGCAGCCAGATTATCCAGCCGTCCAGCCATATCAACTTCTACTGAGAAATGATAAGATGTGCACGGTCAACAATGAGACGAACTGTGTGCATGTTCACGTCATCTTGCTGCTGTAATGAGACGATGGGAAGCTGGAAGGGTCCACAAACGCGGTATCAGGGCTGATACGGTATCTGAAATGTTTATGTTCACCAACTACTTTCTCCTAATCTCTTTTTCTAAATAATAACTTTTTTCTGCGATTGCATTTTAAACACATAACTATTGCACCGTGCTAAAAGTCTGTGAAGTGCACAGTGCGAGTCTCCATGTGATCAAAAGTACCTGTTGTGTTACACTGAGCCCAACACGAATCCCCCGGTGGGACTTTGTCGCTTTGGGTTCCCAAGATTAAAAAGTTTGAGAACCTTTGGTCCAGACTAATCGGCCAGCCACGACTAATCTAATCCCACGAGTGATCTAACTCCTCTCGGTGTGAAATTCTGATTTCATAATATCCACCTTAAAACGGGTGTCAGTCCCAGATCTCTCTCTGTAAATGGTTGTTTGTGTGGCCCGTCTCGTGCACAGGAGCAGTCTAGACAATCTGAAGGACACTGGTGCGGCCTGGGGGCTCCACCAGCTGACATATGGGCAGCAGGGTGTGGCGCAGCAAGGACAGCCAGGCGTCTGCTTACATTTAATCACGTTCCACTGGACAAGACAAGACGCCGAGCCTGGCCAGAGCACGCCGTGAGCAGCGTGGGAGAATTACAGCCTCGGGAACTTGTAGACGCGGGTTAATCATTATTTTTGCAGGGTAGGGAGGCCCTGTGTGCGGTACACAACTCTCGCAATCGACTGGCCAGCTTCAAGCCCGATTAATTAATCGGCTCAAGAGGAGGAGAGGGGACCCCCGTGACCCCCACCGCCGGCCTTACACCCTGACTTAAGACGAGGTGGGGGTTGACTGGCTCCCCGCCTAAAAAAACTGCTGCTCCATAATCACAGCTTAAAATCAAAACTAGTTAATAAAAAAAAACGTGCAACAGTCAAGAGGAGGAGTCACCTCAGAGATCCGGTCTGAAACATCCAGGGAACCTGCTTTGCCTCCTGAGGACTCATCAAGTCCACAACCTACAACCAAGCCCACACATCACAGCTCCTCATTAGGATGCAGGGTCAAAATATTGCTGGTCACACGAGTAGCAAGCATCAAGCTAGCCACTGTGGACTAAAGGACAAAGCAGGACGTGGCCTGTTGGTGCTCTGACAGGGAGCCTTATGGGCTCTTTGGGAGCCACCATCCCTTCCCGGGAGTGGGCATTTACACCGAGCTAGTTGCTAATACTTTAAGCTTTTACCTATTTGCTCCACGTATAAAAATCAACCTGCCCGCGTTTCAGAGGTTTGTTAGCCACCGAGGTGTCTGCTGTCCGCTACGGGGAGAGAGACACCAATAGCCCCGACATACATACAACAAGTTTTTGCTCTCGTTTAACTGCGAGGCAACAATTAACGTCCAACCCCGCTTCTTCTGTTTAACAATAATGAGCTTGTAAGCAAGCTAGCTACTCAAATTCCGGCAAATCAGCGTTGACTTAGCTTTCGGCTAAATTGTATTTTGTAACGACAAGCCTCGATGAAAACACTTAAAGCATAAATGTTCATCTAAAATTCGGCATACTTAGTAAGCTAAATATGAAAACGCCATAAAACTTTAGGACTGATTCACATTAGCCACTTGTCCAGTGCACAGCTGTGGGTGGTAGCTAGCAGCTAGCTACGTTCAGTGTTACACGTTTCCTTCCAATTAAAAAAAAGGACGATGAATTGTTGATAACTGACTAAATCTGTTTGATTACTCTGTATGACAGCTCCAAAATTAAGTCAGGATTAAAGGCCTCGCGAAAAAAACTGTGTGTATGTGTGTGCGCGTATGTATGTGTGTGTACTTCAACGTTGTGAATCACTCGTTTTTTCAATTGAGTTTGGCATTCATTCGCTGGAGGGGGGGGGGCTCACCACCAACTAACCACGCTGCCCACAACACAGCCCCACTTTCAAACATTTCCAACCCGGGTATGAACCAGCGGATTCCCCGGTGTTGTTTCCCCCCCCCGGGCGGAGGCCCCGGCGGGTCCGCGGCCTTCCCTGGCCGCCCCGGGCCGGTCTCCTACCTCCGTGGGCCGGCTGATCTCGAACAGGTCGAGCCGGTTGGCGTTCCAGTGGTTGATGATGTCGGCCAGTTTCCTCCTCTCCTCCTCCCTGCTCCCCGTCATGGTGGGCAGCCTTTCCGGAGAGCCTTTTTGGCTCTCTCAGCGCGGTGGGAAAAAAAAGTAAAGCCGTCCGGGAACGTTAGTCCACGGGGGGAAAAGAACCCGTCGCCGCCGTTGCCGTAGAAACCAACTGCTTCAGGTCGACCGTTGCTCCGCCAGAACGTCGCGCGCGGTCTGTCTCGCGACCTGCTGTCTGATCTGCTTCTGACTCGCGTTCGCGATCCGCCTCCGCGCGCTCTCGACGCGCGTGCGCACGGGGTTCTGTTAACCGTTTCGGGCCCGGGCCTGCGCGTGCGCGTGCGTGCACAGTGACGTTGCAGGAGTTAACGGCAGGCACGCGGCCGTGGAAAAGGATTACGTCATCGTGTAGTGTGAGGAGCTCCCATCGATTTCCTTTATTATCGATCCGGGTGGACAATAAATGTGCTCAGTTTGACCCCATTTCTGCTCTTTGAACAGTAAAATAAAATTAAAAAATTAAATCGCCATAAGAAAATGTTGCTTTTTGTACAATTTCTGTTTTAGTTTCCATCTATTTCTATTTTTGCAACCTAGAATGAAACAACTTCAAAGACTTGGGTGTCTATGTGTTTTTTCATATTTTTGATAAGTAAAATAAAGTTTATTTGTCTTATAAGATCCCAATGATATGTATTTATTGTATTTATATCATGCACAATCATACTTTTTGCACACCTCTACTGATAACATTTAGTGTTTAATAGAAACTGATAGTAAATACTTATATTTCTAACATAAAGATACAATCTTTCAGTTTGTTAATCATAAAGTTTTTGAGAAAGATACACCTTTAATGCTCAGTTTTTCCTTTTAAAATGCAATTATTGGATTTTGTTGCTTCTTATACCAGTTTATTCACGTCACAAGTGAAGTTTTGCAGATTAAAAGCGTTCAATTGATGCAAATTTACAGGCAAAGGTTCAAGCGTAGGTAAGGCATATTTTTACAGTTTGATTGTTTTCCTTAAGTCATTGTTATCGCAAGCATACAGTCCACAAAACCTAAAATCCCTTATTCGCCATTGTTCATTGTTTTCTTGTGTCAAACACTTGGATATTTGTTTCCAAGAAGCTATTCTGGGTCTCCTTCCACCCTGTCTCCAGAGCTAAACCCCACAAACTGTTAAAGACACTATTGTCTTCACTCCTGTGGAAAAAACAAACACAATCTGAACTCAAAGAGTAAAAATGAGTGCTTAC